GCAATTTTATATGTATTATTTGTTGAAATATTCTATCTATATGCATGGACTTTATAATGCACTATATTAATGATTATTTCAATGAAAGGAATATAACTTCGTATCTATGATTTGAAATATTCTCCTCAATTAATATTTTATATTAAGTTTATAAGTCGTTAGAACTTTTTTTGTTTTATCCTTTTGTATTGTACAGTGAAATGTCAATGCAATAAAATAAATTTAAACACATATTATTACTGATAAACTTGGGAAATGAGCAATTTCTTCATAAATGTATAATGGCGTACAGTTGTATTGTCATTTACCGTTTACTTTTGGATATGATTGACAAATAGTAACTTGCATGCATCTCAATACTGATAACAAAATAGAAAACCATGAATATCACCTGAAATTATGTTTCCGCGGTTTATATTTGATTACAGTAAATACATAAAGAGACAACAAATGGCTTACCGTGACTACGTTTTATACGTGGTCAACTTAAAACTGTGTAATAAGATATGATGTTATGTCTGACCATTTATAAAAAGTGCCTTGATATCTAACATACTGCTTCGTTGAGCAGAAAGGTTGAAATGGACACGAGACTGTTCTGTTTGTCTTTTATGGCAACAAAAATGGCGGCACGCTTTGCATGCCTGATTATGAGTTGACAATGAAAACGATCGCTGTGTACGATTCTCCATTATTTGTTATCAAGCGTTTTTAGACAAGACATGACGTCTACACTATTCTACTATTACAAAACAATCTGTTTATATATAATCTAAAATACCCTCAGCTCCAGAACACAAAATATTGAAAGTGTTAGTCCTCTAACCACCCCGATGCTTCACGCCAAATTTGAAAAACAGAATTTATTAAAAGCTGCATAGTCCATCGCTTTAACAAGGTATTCGGGAAAGGGGGCGGGGATATTTCTGGAACAGAATGTCACGAAACGCTGATTATCGATGGAGTTTGTCCTCTCTATACGCCACACCAAGTTTGTGTGAGAGAGAGAGAGAAATGGAGTTTAACGTCCACTCGACACAAACCAGGTCATTTCGGGACTAACATGTGGTTTAATTTTATTTCAATAATTCTCTTGCGCGTAGGGGTCTTTAGCAGTGGGAGGAAACCGGAGGACCCGGAGAAAATCCACGAGGTTGGACAGGCGACCCTACTCCTTGTCACGTACAACCGGGGATTCGAAACCACGCCAGTTGACTCAATGACAGGCTTTATGATACAGCACGCACGTGCTAACCATTCGGCCATCCACCCCCCCCCCCCCAAGTTTGTGAAAAATCTGTTAAAAACTGTAGCCTCTATCGCGTTAACAAGGTTTTCGGCAAAGGAAGGGGGGGGGGCGGACTGGAACGAAAGGACATGTTGCGCAGAAAAAATATATATAGGGTGTGATTTTCTCATGGTCCGAATGTTTAACACCATCCGTTAAAAATGTAGCCCCTATCGCGTTAACAAGGGGAGGGAAAGGGTTATTTTCGAACGAAATTTCGCGGAGCTCTGAAATTCCATGGCACCGATTTTGATGAAAGTCCGTTAAAAACTGAGCTCTATTACCTTAACAAAACTTTTAGAAAAGCGGTTTGGGGGTAACTCTGGAACGAAAAGGCGCGTACTCTCATGGCCCAAATGCTTTAAACAAAACTTGAAGAAAAAAATGAGCTGAAAACTATAGTCTCTAAAATATGGGCCTATAAAAATGCACTGTCTAATTTATTTCAGCTCTGTTGAAGATGTGTGGCAAATTTTGACAGTTATTTTTAAACAATTTACATCCAGACACCATGTATCTATAAGTCTGTATATACTGGTATTGCCAACCCAGTTATGGTTTGATTTGTGGACCCATGGTATTGCCAACCCAGTTATGGTTTGATTTGTGGACCCATAACTAGGCTCAATGCATCAGTCGTTACATGGAAGTAAGGAAATGAGTTTAATTCCCTAATGACTAATGCATCATCTTTGCATTAAAATATGGATAGAAAAGAAGAACTTCTATGGTGGCTATAATTAAATATAGTTGATGTTTTTCTTAGCCTTTGGCGCACTGTTAGAATGCTTATTTAATAGATGAAAGTGATGACCAAGTATTTATGTCTTAGTTCTCAAGAACATTTGTATGTAATTTGCTGTGGTTAGATGTTAGGAGTGTAATTTGTATGCGTAGCGATACTGTGCGAATCTATTCTCAAACATCAGCGAACATTTCAGAATCAGGATCAATTTAATTATTTCGAATAAATATATATATTATTTAAGGGTATGACTGCCAATAGTAAATTTTCTGTTAAAATGTATTGTCCTTTGATTAATGTAAAATGCAAAATGTATAAAGGTCTAATACCCTTAATGATAGTCAAGTACGTCTAATGACAATGTCGCATGTAATATATTGAACGGCAAATGTGTCATTGCCTAATGATCTATTAAACATACATTATGCAAAAGCTAAATCCGCCTATTGCAGGTCTTTCTTTAGGCCCGGAATGTTATATACACTATTAATTAGACATTTATTAAAGTAGCTATTCTCTAACTCAATATCATCCAAAGCCTTCGACAATGAAAACACGAATTATTTGTCAATTTTAATCAACATTGGTGTTGTGATCTTACCAGAAAAGGTGGGCTTCTGATATCCAATATTTAAGACAAAATAAACATTAATTTACGATTGGTACACGAATCGTGTACCATAATGCGTTTCAGTGCAATTTGTAACAAGCGACTCGAAGAACGAGGTTAGACATATTCCACAAGTCATGTCAAACGGTGACCCCATATTCTTATCTGGAGAACATGCGCAATAAATACTATCGGTGTAGACTGGAATAACCAGACGCTAGAGATTGCCATTGGATTGAGACTTCTGGAGTATTTCGCAACATAACTGCTTTGAAATTAGAGTAAAAACGGAAACGATTGAATGTAAATCAGTTTATTTACATTCATATTACATTATTATATACGTTGCGACCCATTTGTGTCAATGTGTAGGTCCCAAATATTAGCGATTTAGCTCCTTTAACATGAAAAAAAAAACCTTAATTAACTCTCGATGCCATCTTATGTGTCGGATTGTCACTGGATTTGAATCCGATCTGCTGCTCAACGCTCATTGATGATTAAATCAAAAACTGGATAATCGAGACTATGTTTTGATCGTATCGACTTTAGTATCGATGACCAAGGCTAGACCTAAAATTTAATCGCTAATATCTCGGTTCAGAGTGGAGCAATTTAACTGAAAATTTCAGCATATTCCCTTTACATTATCTAGTTTTTAACTATTATAGTGAGAACTGCCAGCTTTTTATCTAATCTTCCATAATGCCCAGATTATGTCTTCTTTTTGAACAGGTAAATTCCCCTATAATATTTTGATCAATATATTTAATCTTTATGTTCTGTACATAGCATTACAATAACTTCGATATGCAAATGAGGGATGTCGCGTGAAGACGGAAACAACCAAACTAAAGATGGCGGACGTGCTATATTGATGTATCTAACACAGATTTACTAGGCCAACCTAAGAATTACGCCAATAGGCTATGCTAGCGCATATAAAAATGTTTAATAACCCAGATTGGTTTTCGGACAATGACGCGTAGGCGAAACGATGCGAACAATATGTCAGGTTGAATAATTTAACGCAGACCAATGATTATTTGTCGGTAATAGAAAATTACATAGGCCAAGCCTGTTCCCCAATCCAATTGTTTTAAAAAAGAAAATGGAAAATCGCTAAGAAATAAAAAAAAATCGCTTTAGCCTAGCTCGCACACTTTTGCAATGCAAGCTTCAGTCTGAGTTGACAATGTAAAATGATCGCTTCTCCATATCCCGAAGGAGCTGTATTGACGTGTTTTGGGGAAAGAGAGGGACACCTTCACTATTTACTGTAACGAAACAATTTATATATATATACTTTAAATTACACTATCCCCCCATAACATATCAGAAATCTTTCGACCGTCTTTATAAAACAGGGATAGTCATAGGAAAGCAATGATCAACCGTGTGTATCCACACGCTCATTATATCCACGAATAACTTTTCAGTATACCCAATTAATTGTTTGGCATATTAGTTTCTGACAACCTATAGTGTTGAAAGGACTTCATGGAAGTTGGTGTAGCAGTTTGCTGTAAATTGGGCATGAAGTGTAGGTTAAAAACTGTATGCAATAGATCATATACGTTTTGGGTGTATCGGCCTGTATCATTATATGTTTATATATTTTTGCATTATGAACATGTTTTAGAAACAAATTTGGCTTTTTTAGAATTCGCAATTAAAGGTTTTTAATTGTATGGCATAACACAAAAATATATATTGAATCTTGTGATCATAATATAGGAGTCACGCGACATTGGTAACTACATCCTAATAATGAAAACAGAACACTAGCCGATAACTAATAATATATATCGACATCTTTGTAAAAGTCAAATTGTGCCAGACAATGTGCTAAATAACAAAAGGTCATTAAAAGCATACATATATTCATAAAGCAAACGGGGCTGAGTTTAATCGATGTTAGCTTTCTAGACGCAATAAATCCCACAGTAAAGGTCATTCACAAGCAAGCCGACATTTTAGATCTTAAACCGCACCAATGGGGCTTTGAAGACACCTGCTCTGAGATATAGCACATTCCATAAATTGTCAAGCAAATCTTTCAAGATAATAGTCGAATTTCTCTTTTCAAATTCAGGTTTCGTGCCTATTTCTGGTCTTCGATTGTTTGCACACTCGTGATGTCTTATCGATTGCCAAACCACCAGACAGCCTCTGTGGATGGTGTAGGCCTTGATTGTTGGTGTGGGCCTTGTGTGACGTATGATCCGTATATTCATGCTTTGGTATTATGTGCTCCCACCGATCATATGTGCTGTGTGCACATTAATTATTATAGATAATGACATGAATCAGTGAATTTTAAAGAAGTGTTTTATTTTCTAAAAAGAATACAATACCTTTAATCATCATAACGACAGACGATAGGTCATAGGTCACGTATAATCATTCACTAGTTTTACTTGCGTTTATCAGATGGCAAATATTGGCGAGTATTCGATAGTTTGTTATGGAGCTGAAATTAAAAGCAAAAGAAAAGATTGATAAATGTAGACTTGAAAATGATTGTAATATTTGGATAACTGTTTGTGGTTAAATTATATCGGAGCAGCACCGTTGACATTCCAACTACCGTCAATAAGGTGTCCTCGGAAGTAATGCGCCATTTTGATTTAGAATCTTTAATAGAATAGTATAGCTATAGAGGGCAGATGAACCAAGACATGACCTTCAATATGACAAAACATCAGACCATTTTTAAAACCCCCAAAATATATTTTTTTTAGCATATCACTGGAAATTAGGTTTTGACAATCACATTTCTCTTTTAACTTACTGAAGGTCATCACACCTATTATTATATTGATGGTTAGCTTTGGCAATATTAGTGTCATCTTTATTACAAAATTCCATCACTGAGTCGGAATTGATTCAATAGAATCAGTCCACCAGCACACAATATATACAAACTAATTAAAGCATGGCAAGTGTATTTTGTTATGGTTTAGATAGGCTGTAAGTAATTCTTGCTGGTACACCTTTTGGGAGCTAGTGTCAATGATTGGTCTATTGTAAAAGGTACAAGTCATCTGCATAGGATTTATAAAGCTATTAGATGTAAATATGCATTTGATAGCTGACTCTGGTATTGAAATTTCATTAATATATGTTTGTTTTAAGTCAAAATTCGCGAAGGTCTGTATATTATGTGAATTCTAAAAATATTAGATGTAAATATGCATTTGATAGCTTTATATGGTAATGCAAAAGGTTATTAATAGTTCTTGTTTTAAACAAAATGCACGAAATCTGTATATAAATGTGAATTCTAAAGCTATGAGATGTAAATATGTATTCAAAAGCTAAGTGTGGCCATGTACATGTAAATGTAATTAATATTTGTTCTAAAACAAAATGCATAAAAATCTCTGTAGAATGTTAATAGTAATAGAGGGACTGCACCACACACAGTTACACAAAACAAATTTATGGACGAGACACAATACGCAGAAATCACAAACAAACGCACATATCATGATATATTTCGATTTATTATTTTAATAATATTAAAATACTGAAGACTTGAACAAAATGAATCTAATCGTGTTGTCAAATTGCGCAATGTACCTATCATTATTTCTGCAGTTAATATGTAATTTTCGCTTTTTTACATGCATTACTTTAGAAACCCCATTCAAGTTATCTATTATGATTACGTTGTCTATAGCAGCTTCAATGTTCTTTTGGTAGCTCAAATGCTCGTAGAATCCCCACCCCCATATCTCGTATTAACTTATTCTATTCATAAAGAATATAAGAATATAATAATCATGCACAGTTTATATTTGGAAGATATTCTAATAATACGGTGTTCTTTTTTTATTAGTTAATTGCACGAACAGGCGAGGAATTCGCCTCATTTTGTGGAAGTGTGTCAAGATTGGTAAAACCTGTTCGTCGAATGCCAAATGTCTATGATATATACCAAGTTTAGCTCGTAGACAGAACGTCCATATTACACTGTCTGGGTTTTGTGCCAACATTTACCATCACCAAGCTGATTGGTGTATTCACCACTCTATTTTTCTTACTTTTACTTCTTTCCATATCTCAGGCCTCTCCTTGCTAACATGAGATATAATAAGCTGAAATTCTAGGACTCTGGCCACAATTAATCCTTTGTTCTATTGTGATCAAACCGATGTCGTGCCATGCCTTCTGCTATTTATCACTCGGCATCTATAGACTTCGTCATTAATATAAGCAGAGGAAACGGTAACCTGGGCTTTTAAAGATAACACAGATAATTAGAGTCGTGGCTGCAATATGGCAAAAACTGAACGAATCTTGGCAACTTTTCATTTACTTATGGAAGAGAAACGGCACTCTCTTGTTATAATTGCTGATACTTGCTGTTTTACGTGGGAAAGGGAAATTAAAGAGAAAAATCTGGCTAAAAATCAGGCATAACAAGCCAGTCTTAAAGCTTCCATTTATCTTCTGCTGCTTAACCTTGAGCAGTGGATATGTCTGGCCGATTTGACTCTAGCTTCTCATCATCCCAAATGTAGATTCATGACAGTTGCTTTAGAAGTATGCCAAACTTACTGGTACCATAATAGCTTTTTAATGTGTGAGACATAGTACATGTAGTATGAAATGGGAATTTTTTTATTTATGATACTTAAATCGGTGTCTAGTAACCTAAAATGTAAAGAAGAAAACAACAGTACAGATGCAAAAGAAATGTATTGTTTTAGAAATTAAGCAAGGTTCATGATGCAAGAGCTAAATCTGCCTATCGCGGGTCTTTTTTTTGGCTTAAAATGTTATATCAATTATAATTTAGGTATTTATCTACTTGACAATCCAGTAATCCATTTACTAGAACATATCGAATGGATTAATTTAACGTTAAAATGGATAATCAGACTTTGTTTATTGTCGTAGCAATGGTACTTGATAACGGAAAATATCTTGTCAAAACTTCAAAACATTTATAACTTCGCTCAGAAACAAGTAATTTGACTGAATCGTCAGTATATTCCTTTTTAATTATCTATTTTTGAACTACTATAGTAAGGAAACGCCAGCTCTGTATTCAAAAGACTTCTTTTTCCCTGTAATTCGTGACTTGCAAAGTAAAACTTTTCTTGTTGTTGCTTTATCTAATTGATAATACGTTATTGTCATGTATTTTGTGCAGACGTTTTATTTCACCTTAGTATTCGAGACTACACTTAGCGTGCTCTGCACTATAATAATATGAACGATGATTTAGGCAGCCCAATGTTGATACGGGGTGCTACATGTATTTAACGACCATCTGGAAAAGTTTTTGTTCTTATTTTTATTCATGTGCTATCCTTCGATTTCACAAGGTAGACGTGGTCATTGGCACATACGTCAAATTGTAAGGTAGTGCTATCCGGAAGTTGGTTTAATCTCCCTTATCCAGACCCATTTAAGAAGCCCAGGGCATGAGAACAGTGGAGCAGAAGTTGGTATAGAAATTGCTGTTCACACGTTGATTGGGACAACGTGGCTATTTTAATTCTATTTTTCATGGATTGCTTAAACAGAAACGGTCAGATATTCCATAATGATTACATTTGATATCTAACCACTTCTTGACACCGTTTTTCTGCAGACAAACGTGTTCAATACGAGGAGTGACATTGGTGTGAAGACCCCTAAGCGCAAGCGAATTATTGAAATAAAATTAAACCATATGTTAGTCCCGAAATGACCTAGTTTGTGTCGAGTGGATGTTAACCCCATTCCTCACTCTCTCTTATATTGGTTCCATGTTCAAGATTCCTTATTCTTAGTAGATGGTTTTATACTACAACAATATTTTTCAAGTGTATTATTGTCGTACTGATATCTGAAAGCGTTCTAAACGTAGGTTATTGATATAGACATTTTAAGAAGCATTCGTGTCCAGGCAGATTTAAAATTCATTACCTTCCTACCAAGCATAACAGTTTTAATCGATACTGACCAATGGAATTGACAACAGTGAACAATAACCTTCATTGATTTTGAACTGTAGGCTTATATATTTTTGAAACGTTCGGAAATGAGTCGAATAGGTTGGGTTCCTCGCTTATTTTTAGATTCTCTAAGATGAAATTTTGTATATTACCAACATAAATGATACAATGGGTGATTTGTTCAGATTTATAACATCACAATAGCAAAACATTATCGTATCACAAGTTTTGTTTATGATGTAAACAGATTCATTCGACTAAATGACTTTATGTGAGAACATTTGACATTTTTTGCTTCTATCGGTACCGGTCCCAGTAACGAGGTACATCTGAGAAGATGCTTCCATTCAAACACTATATCTAGTTTCTATATATTCGATCAAAATGACCCAGACAGTTCGTGTTATAAGAGTGGATAAACTGGTCCAACTTCTTCACATGAACTTAGTGCAGACACCTATCTATGAGGAGTAATAACGGTCTTCTCGTGGTATTCGACTCAATAAAACAAGGCAAATCTCTTGTCATTCTTACATCAGACATTAGATCATCTTGACGGTCTGAAATTAATTTCATTCATACAGCTAGCTCTAATTAGCTATTTTGACACAATGTATACAACATGCCACATTTTATTTGTTTTGGAAATTATATACATATACTTTATAAATGAGCATACTAATCGCTTAAATTTCTGGAGTTAATACAGATATTCTTTTAATCCAAATAAAACAAATGCTTTGAAAGAATATTTAAAAAATAAAAGTGGGGTTTGTTAACTTGAATTTGTGCTTAATATCAAAGAGGTAACGTGCCAGTATAAAAGTTGGATCTCAAACAAAGTTAAGTTTTTGGACAAAGATTGTTCAAATCTTCGTATTATACTTGATTTTGTGGTCATTTGTAGTATACATTAGTTCATATTCGTCAGTTTTAAAACAAGGCATTTGGTCCAAACGTGGATAATTAATGCGTTTAAGCACATTATAAAAATTTTATACTAACGTTATATTTACTCCAATAGTATGTTATAAATCTGTTTAAGACATGGTACCGATATTCAAATAATGGAATCATAAGCTTAAAATGTGTATTGCATTGTAAGATTATTCAGAATAATAGCCTCTGAATTATGGACGGATATGTAGGTCATTTACTACATCAACAAACGGTATCTGAAAATGAACCTCTAAAATAAAGCAATAAGCTTATTCGCTGTTTTTTAAGACTGGCAACCTTAACATCTTATGATACCCCAATTATATCCCCAGAAGTTTATAATAGTGATAATGTTAGGAGTAATAACAATTCAAAAAAAACTATTTATATATCTAATATGTCACTTCAACGTGCACAGTATGGCCCCTGACATAAAGAATTTACATATTATTTTGGTTAAAAGGCTGTCACCTATGAACTGAAAGATAATACATTTTAACAGTAAATAAATCACACAATTTTGCCAGTTCGGCAAACTAATTTTTCTGCCGTTTGCAGGTACACAAGCCAATTTCTATTT